ACTCACCCACACACACACACACACACACACATATGCACACAGGCGAGCTGGGTAACTAACTCGTGCACAACGTTATCGTCTTCTAAGATCTTGTGAACTATCGTTATTACTCTACGATTGCCTATATAGATTAAAGCATTCAAAAAGGCGGTTTACAAAGAAAACGAATAGCCAATGCGTTTAAAATAATATCGTTCTCTAGTGCGTGCAGATTTTTTTGTGTATTCTGCAACGACGACGACGGTGAGTGGTGTGTGTTTACCCGACAACAGCAATATAATAAAATATATTTTTATTCGTCTGCGGCTTCCTCGGGGAAAAATAACCCGCTCGTCCTACCCGCCCATATACCGAATTTCGTAGATTTGTTTTGTGACGTGTATGGCAACGCCGCGCACCGCTGCCGTTGTCTCGGTACCAAATCTTTCCAGTTGCGCAATTTCCGCGTTACGATTTCACAGCAAATTTAAGCGAACTCACGCAGACGAAATATAAATGTATGTATATAATATTATATACGTACAGTACACACACACACACTATATATATATTTTATAAATATATACGTCTAGTGCGATTGCTCGACTGAGAGATAAAGCGAATGACACGAGATCAGTGGAATGAACGCACAATAATAATAATAATACGAGTGACATTGCGCGGCAGAAAGAGGGCATTTTCGCGAGAATGGTCCAAGCGAGACGGTTTAATTTTTCTTCCGGACCCTGTCGTAGTGAAATTCCGTTCCTAGAGCAATCTTATTTTGCGAAATTTATCGATACGATTATTATAATTATGAAAAAAAAATTTAAAAAAACAAACGATTCTTCTCCTATGTGTTAAAAGGATATAGATTCAAAAAGATCGGTGGAGATATCGTTACCGAAACCAAAGAAATGATGTTCAATGATAATCCTACGTACGCACGAAATAAACACGTTTTATAGCGGTATATACTTTAATTATTGACAAGTGTATTATTCTTTAATGAACTGAAATAATTTTAATGAGCATTTTCTAGATCGCTTCGCGCAGTAGTGATATCATTTTTACACGTAAAGCATACGACATCTATTGATTTTTATTGTGATAACCTAAATGACGAATAATTTCGGTTTGGAAAAATAAAAAGTTGCTTAACATATAAAATAGTGTCATACATTCATAACAAAACCACTAATACATAATGGGCAGTTGGAATTGTAGATACTAATTACAAACATATTATACAATTTATAATAACGATTTTACACTTCATTAGAGCCAATTCATTAATTACGTAGGTTCTCTGGATATATCCATACATTACTACGGTCCGCTAGAATAGCCTATCCGTTAAAGCGATGGACAAAATATTTGGTTACTGGGTGCGTAATATCCGTATAGTGTCCTTGTATTTAACAATAATTATGAATATTCCTCTGAATAATGTACTCCGCAAGTGCGTATTGATCATATTTATAGTAGAGAACACGCGTTCAGGCGTAGTAGTCGATCCGGGAAACGTACACAATATTTTATAAAACGTGTAAAAGGCCGATGTTTCTCCTTGGCCTTTTTTTTTTAATCCTTTTGACTTGACCCCCGAATCCGTCTCCCATGTTTGTATATTATAGTGTCCGTCCAGATATCTCATAATGCGAGCAACGATTATTTTTTCCGTACGATTTTCGATCGGGTGTGTTTTATCGATTTCACCGAGAACGATGGGGTTCTCGAGACTGCACACACGCCGCCGTCTCCCACTGCGGAACGCTAAGTGGACCGATTTTTGGCACCGAGCCTGTCTAAAAACAACAACGACGACGACAAGGAAAACGGGGATACTCTACACAATATAGTCACATAAAATTCGCCAGGGGACGTTTGTTGTCCCCGCGACACTGCTACACTGGCGACCATATAAACGCTGATTCCCGTCGTTTTCCTATTGCCTGTGGAATATACAAGGACTGAGTTTCGCGTTCATATGTATAATAATAACAATAATATTTTATATGAAGCCATCGTCTGTCACTTCCGGACATGAACTATTGCATTATACCGCAATAGCGATGGTATATTAATACACTTCCGGGGTCTCGCCGGTACCGCGGTACGGGCGTGTTAGAAGGTTCGCGCGGGTATTGTCAGAAAATAATATACGACTGCAAACACGTTGCATTTTTGGATAATTTGATTTTTATTTTAATATTATTTATTTAAAACATAACAGGCGAAACTCAACCGCATATTAAACACAGTAAATTATTTTGATTTGCTTTGGTAACTTATATTGGTTATACTATAGCGTTTGTCGTACAAAATAAACATAAATTAGCGTGCGAATTTTCCCTGTATCGTAACGTACTTTACACAACAACTTAACTGTTTTGAAACAATTTAATAACCAAGTATATTATGCTTGTGTTGAAAACGAATTACATTCAATATGATATTATTCGTAAATAGATGAAAATTACATTTTTTTTAATTACTAAAGTATAATTATATTTTAATTTAGGCTATTGTACATTTATATATTTAATATTCACATTAAAATTAATATTGATAATTAATCATGAAGGATAATAATAAACTGGTATAAACCGAAGTACCGAAGTAGTGTAAGTTCCTATTGAAAACTTTGAAAAAAACTCATTGAAAAAAAAAAAGAACAAGATCTAATCCATTTGTCTAACAATCGACGAATTTATCTTTTTATATAAATAGTATGGTGTCCTAAAAAATGTTCACAATCCTGATAAAACTGCCTCCCAGAACTTTTTTTTTTTTACATAGATTGGTGTGAAAATCAATTTTGTTAATACCCGGAAAAATCATTTAATTAAAACCTTATTCTTAAAATTCGCAATCTTTTGAGAAATAAAATGCATACGGACAAACGGACGAAATCATAGAGTAATCAATTAATAATAATATTACGAATAATATTTTAATTAATCTTCTCGTCGACCAAATCAACAAACGTAATTATCCATTATAGTGATTGTAGGAACCAACGGACAGGCCAGACACGACGGTGTTCTAAATATATGATTAAAAAACGTCACTAACTCAAAATAATATGCTTCATAAAATGTCGTTCTGGAAAAACCAAAATCAAAACGTTTGCGTGATAATCGTGGAACGCTTTTGGACATTATCAGTACATTTTAATAATATTATATTTAATTTTCGCATCTATTTAATGTATTATTATAATATGATATTCTGTGTACGATTTTATCGACTCGAGAGGAATAGTAACTATGTGAACTGATTGCGCATTGTGTCTATAACACCACTCATGATTGTTTTCGGGCACTCAATTCTCGTTGAACGAGCGTGCGGTCGCAATTCTCCGCGCGTACCTAACATGACCTGAACGTTCTATACGGACATCTCGGTGGATTGGCATGGTTTCACGAAAATTATATATATATATATTATTATTATTATTATTATCATCATAGTTATAGGTTTTCGACACCGTTTATTCGCAGGCAGGTCCGAGTGGCCGTGTCCAATTCAATTGTCATGTTATCTGCTGCTGCTGCTAATGCACGTCACCACCGATCGATTTCCAGCGAAATCTGGCCGCCGGGTGATTTCTAAAAAATTCGGTGTTTCTTAGTCCGACTCCCGTGGTTTTTAAAAAACAATATTATTATAATTAGTAAATAATCACCACGGTCTATTCGAATATCGTTTTTCCCCCTGAAAATTTTGACTGATTTATATTGTGTAACATGATGATTATGAGCATCCTTAATAGTAATTTAAAATGTAATCTTCAGAAAATCCATTTGTACACTAATATGTATATTTTTAATCGTCTAGATAAGCATAAAATATCTTCATCTTTGTATCTAGATTAAAAAAAATTGTTTTCAATACTATTCATCGTGAAACTTAAATCATAAAAAGCGAAGCAGCCAAAGTGCATACTATTATCTAGATTTTCAAAAGGTAGTGCGGTTGACGTAACTTAATATAGAGAGTTCCAAAATAATAAAATAACGGTAGTTAATGATTAAGTGTAGTTGGATCAATTGGAGAGAAGCTTTAGGTATTTTAGAAGAAAAAAGAAATTATTCTATTGAGAATATTAAAGGTAAGTTCTCAAAGAGTATGATGAAATAAATTATGTAGTATATTTTTGAGGTTTGGGTGGTTGTAGACAAATATATCAAAGGAGAAGTGTTGTAGATATGATAATTCTAAAATAGATGAGCAGAGTGATAAAATAAGATAGGATAAGGAAAGAGAACATAGGATGTATTATAGACGTGGCCTCTATAGTATGAAAAATGATCGAAAGTCAAAAAATACCTGATACTGGAGATGGGTGAGAAGTTTAGAAGGTAGGATAAAAAGAGGAATTTAATTTATGTCTGTATAAAATGATTAATCATTGCTAACAAAAACAATTCTGCTTGGTCAATAGTATTGCTTTTTCAACAAGGTGCATTTTCATTACAATAGTGTTTGCTTCAAAAAAATTAAACGATTAAAGTAATAAAAAATTAATAATAACAAAAAATAAATAAAATCGGTTGCCAATTACAACCTTTTTTTTAATCTTCTTTAACCTTAAGAATCAGTTTTCCTCATTATCTCGAATATTAATGCAATTTTCAAAAAATGATCTTTTAAGAGTACAAACTAGAGCTAAAATGCATTAAAAAAAGTATCTTGTCATATTTTATTTAGAGAATTATTTTAGGAGAAAATTTGTTTATAGATAGAAAAAACAATAATAATTTACACCAGCGGTTCTTAACCTTTTTTAGAACATGGATCCCGATGAAAGATTTTTAGAAATCGCGAACCCCCCTAACAATTGTCGAATACCTTTTTTTTACAAAACATCTCATGTTATCCTAACTGAAATTATAATAATTATTTTATATTACAAATTATAGATACATTTTCGTATTCGTATCTTACATAACGCAGNTTAATATTTCCTTATAAACCATCAATTCGTTTTTTTATTGTATCATTTGGCAATGCAATTTTATTTAAGCTATTTGCAGCTTCTTACTATTTTCATACACGGAGTTTTTCATCATAAACGTCAGAATTCTCCCTGTTTAAATTTAGTCAACGTTCCATTTTAACTTAAATGTTTTTACAATGATTTGAAAAAATATCACGTATTAATTCTAAATTAAGTATTTATAAAACTATAATTGAATACAATCGATCATCTTCACTTATTGGTAGTAAATATACGACTCCCGACTAAAGTGCTGTACGCCTGTAAAATTCGTATCAACAAAAAAAACTGATAAATAGATATTAACAATAAAATTAATAGGTTTAGATACTTAATTGTATCGAATTTCATTGTCGCCGATGTAATAAAGATAGATAAGATAGGTTTATCTCTTAAAATATAATATAAAATACATACATTTATATGAAAAAAAGTAAAATGATAATACAGAAATATTGTAATAATGCACTTGTATCACGTATTGACTTATGTTAGGTGTTAAGACTGCCGCAGACCCCTGACATGAGTATCGCGGACCCCCAGGGGGCCACGGACCACAGGTTAAGAACTGCTGATATACACCATAGTAAAACTAATAGATTTCTTACGTCACTCAACATCTAAAAGAAATGGTTGGCTGTGATTGAAAATTATACGAAGAATGCATGTGTATGCGAGGGTGATGTAGGAGATCGGGTCAAGTGGAAGTTTGATAGGAAGGTTACCGACCTTTAAAAATTTGGGATGAAGGCAAAAGAGAAGCACAAGAACAGTTTATATTCTGATATAAAATAAATTAATTCGTAATCACTATTTTTTACAATTTAGAAGCAATTTCGAAAATAAATCAATTTAATATGGAATTAAATTAAATTAATACATTATTTTTAAACATTGATATAAATACATTTATCAAGATAAAACTATATGCATGATCCAAAATTTTCCAATCCGGAAGTAAATTTCACACTATTAAATACCTACCTATAGTATTATGTTATAATAATTATATATTATAGGAAATATACGTGATCTCACCCCTCCGTGGTCACGGAAGCAACCGTAGGGTAAACAAGTGTTTACCACCCAGTAATCGAATTCAATTTCGGAACGTCGACACATTATAATACAGTCGGAGTTGATTTTAATCGAATGACTACCCTACCTATGTCTATCAACCTTATCGGTGCCGTTGCGGTCGTTGTCATTTCACTGTTTATCGGCACGTGAAAACTTGGTTATTTCGGTTAAACGCGTAATATCAGTAATACAATAAACGCCGGCGAATAGCCTATACAATAATATGGTGTAGGTACATACTAATCAAATTTAACTGAAAAAAAAATGTTTGCAGTTATATATAATAATATTGTGTCAACAATACAGTCGTGGGGAAAGAATAACAATTTGTTTTTATGATTCCGGAGAGTATAACGATTTTAACGTTTTATTGGAATGTTTATCTAACTCAGTGACATTCTTGACATTTTAATATGGGAGTAGATCTGGAAATAACTAACGTGTATTATTCAGACTTGTTGATTTTATAGGTAAAAACCCATTAAAAATATTTTCAGGTAGAAATTAAAACAATATTTGGTAATCCTTCAAAAAGTATACTCGTATCTGTTAGTATAAATAATAACATGCGATAATAAAGAAGAGAATATTAATTTAACAAGTCATGATTTTGTATTGAATATTGTCTTAAAATATCAATACAAAAAGACAATAACTATAGAAAATTCATAAAGTATAAAGCAATTATATATATAAAAGAAAAAAATGTCTGTAAAATTAAACCTTTGTGAAATTTAAATAGTAAGTTTGGTACACTTTTTTTTCGTAGTTAATTATAATTTGTTCAAAAATCCAGTTTCAAACTCTTATGACTTTTACAAATGACTTCAATAACACGAATTGTCAGTCACTGTTCATCGTTCACTCCAAACGTATATTAATATTATTTCTCGAGTGTTTTGGACATCAATTATTATCATTATTAAACACGTCATAAGTTATTTTACACTTATCGATTGTAATTCATTTCAAATTATACGATTAATGAATAAATTATAACCATAACATTACTCGTGCATAATACACAATAAAAATATATTCCTCTCGTCCCTGTGACTCCAAATTAATTAACTCAACAAATGTGTTGCCAATAATATTCGTGAACTTACTAAATTTCTATAGTAATATTATCATGTCGTAAACTCGTAAATATGCGTTTATTAATAAAATATGTAACGGCGAATTTGGGTTGATGACATTAGTTTTGTTATAACCAAGTTGTTTTTATTTGTTTTTTTTCTAATTCTTTATCCATGTTATTAATTTCACTACTTATTTGTTAATGTTTATATTATACATCGACCTATTCTCTAGGCAATAATATTATTGGTTTAGTGCGATAAAAAGCTTTACGGATATTTGTGTACACTTAAATACACGCGTTTTCCGGTGACCATCAAAGTTCGTCCGACGTCATGCTTTTCAAACAACTTTACAACGTTTTCTTTCTATAATAATATGAAACTTTTTTTTTCCCTCTGGGAAAAATTTTTCATCTTGTACAAAGCGATAGGTACGTGTACGCCATGTTCTGTAACCGCTGCAATGGTTTACACGATTGCACGATATTATCTATAATATATACGAAGAAGAAACAGAAACGAAAATTGGTTTTGATTTCTTTTTCAACTGCTGCTGTTGCTGTAGATACTCTTAGTTTTTTTAAAAGCAAATATTTGTATTTTATGTTTACGCAGAAGAACACTGCAATATTTATATTATGTTTATGCAGTCATGTTATGTAACGCATGCATATTATAAACAGAGTTTGTGTGTGCAAGATTTGACAAAATTTTGTAGATACACCCGATATATTATGTTTATTTCATAGTACTTATGATATTATGTTATCCTTGGAAACACGTCTTGCCGTCTATATTACATAATATAATAATTATAAAATTATCTCGTTTGTGCGTGGAAACACTGTAATGTTCCAACCGCGTCAAAACTGGGTTCATTCAAAAGAAAAAAACAGTAATCGTAGTAGGACAAGTCCTATACTTAAGACAGAGTTTGAATAATAATGATTATCATAATTATAATACAATCTAGTTATTTAATTCCACTTTAACCGCGGACACAGCATTAATAAACTTTTTGGATACAAACCACAATAGTAAAGTTAATTAAATTTAAAAAGATACTGAACATTCGTTTTGGTTTTGTTTAATACGCAGAGTGGTATTTTGGGTTTTGTACTTTATTCTTTTGAAATCCAATTATTAACATTTATTACTATAAATTCCGTTCGGGCTAACAAGAGACTTCAAAATAAATGTATTTTTAATAAATTATAAATATATTAATGTGGCATTGAAATTTGTTCCATTTTTTAAAAAAGTAGTAATTTATTGTGTGCTTTTATAATATATAGTTGATAGTTCCATTACTTAAGTGATCAGTGAGCGTTATAATTGACAATAGTATAAATTATATTTTTCTTGTTTATTAAATATTTAATAAAAATCGATAGCAATAATATTATGACACAAATATTAAACAGTGTATGCTATAATAATAGTATCTGATTTTAAATTTTTAAATATTTAAATCGGATTTAAATGGGACGTTTGATATATTTTATGATCCACATGACTTCTGATTACATGATGCGTTGTGACTTTGCGGGTATTTTTAAACACATCAATGTTCGAACTCAAGTGTTGAGACAACTTATTAAAATATAGTGTAGACCGAAAAAAAAAAAATTAAATATTTAAATTAATATTTGATTATATTATGTAATAGTATTTTTTCGTGGTGGAGATTAAAATACAGGATTCTATAAAACATAAAATTATAAACGTATAGGTAGTGAGTTCACATCAATAATCAATGTATGATATATGTCTGTAACCATATTCATATTATTTTACAACACACTGTATTATACTTTACATACAATTAAATATAACACAACTTATACTTAAATATAAAAAAACACCAAAACATAATAAAAATAAACATGATTTAATACATATTATAACGTTAAAAAAAAATAAAAATATATAAATTAAATATTTCTATTTTTTAAGGTACAGGGGGATTGTATTATTTTGATGTCTAACAGAAAATTGTTATTATACAAACGAATCATTTAACGTCAGTAATTAATATTTATTTCACGCTCAATAAAGAATAATTATATTTTTGGAATTCTTTTCATCTTATTAAATCGCATTGAGTTCATCCCAAAGTGGACACTATAAAGGTATCCGTTTGAAAAGTCAAAAGACCAACGATGTTTTTGAAAAATTCAATAGAGTTTTAATAAATTATTATACGATTTAAACAATTCGACGGAAATAATAGAATAAAAAGAGCAGATACTACGGATGGGTTTGCCACTTTTGTCAGTAGAAAGTTGGGAAGGTAGGATACATAAAGTTGTTTAATTAAATTTTTTTAATTAAATCTAAAAGAAAAAAATTGGATAACGTTAAATTCCCATGAATAGCTCAAAAATGTCCAAAGTCGTTATTTTTAATTGAATTACAATAAATAACACAATCTAAAATAAAGGAACCATTAATGTCATAAAATATTAAATTTTTCCAATTATTAAGAAAACTACAGGAAAGTTCAAAAACGACTATCTTATGCAATAACTAGGTAACATTTTTATTCCATAAAGATACTATATTACAGTGATTATCTCTATTATTAAAATAGAGATATTATATTGCTTTAATTTTGTTCATTTTCCCGGTTTTTTCCTCAGTTATTATGAAAATGTCTTGGGAAATAAAAAAATATTTCTTTAAACCAACGACTAGTTCCAAATTACTAAAAAAATAATAATTGTCTAGGTTTTAATGGACTAATCTCAATGCTTCAAACACTGCGGTTAGCACTCTTATAATATAATAAAGTTACTTTCGCTTATCGCCGTCAAATCGATATTATTATCAATTTCTTTCGTGCGATTAATTTTGAATAGATTATAACATCATACGAGTATATTCATTGAATTTTTAATGGCATTGTCCCAACAGGGTTTTCCTCAATCACCTAACTGCTTAATTAAAGGTCATGTAGTTTACATCAATCTCTTTGAAATATGTTGCCATGTGTTGAACCGAATTTAAAGTTTATAATTATGTTATCTTATTCTATAATTGGTTTTGACATTAATAAATGTGCCTAATTTACTTATGAAAACTTTTCTCTCGAAAACATCTACTTTCGGTTCTTTAAATTTTTTTTTAT